CGCTAACATTAAACTGACCCTCCATAAAGCTCTTATTAGATCCGTAATGACTTATGCTAGTCCCGCCTGGGAGTTTGCGGCAGACACTCATCTAGTGAAATTGCAGCGCCTGCAAAACAAGGTTCTCCGCATGATTGGCAATTTTCCAAGGCGCACACCGGTCCGCGATTTGCACATGGCATTCAAAATCCCGTACGTATATGATTACATAACAAAATTATGCAGGCAACAAGCAGAAGTCATACAAAATCATGATAATGAGAATGTTCGCAACATCGGACAAGGCGAAGCCCGACACAGAAAGTATAAGAGGCTTAAACTTGGCGGCGGTCAGGCGTACGACCGTTCGAGTGACTAGACTGCCGTGGTAGCTAATACTACTAGGATATATATATATATAAAGGGCATAATCTGCTGTACCTGGCCTGGACTGACGGAGGCCGTGTATATATTGTACATCTAAATAAGAAATAAGTGTATTATAAATATGTGTAAATACAGAAAGTGGACTTAGTACTACAGACTGACTAACAAATGACAGACCCGACCTCTCGTCAGAGAGGGTGCTACACATAGACAAGACAGTAACTTTCATTCAAAAGAAATATCTGGTCATGAGCCCCAGCTGGGGCTCGACACTAAGACAGACAGACTGACCGATCGTCAGTTGTAACATGACCTTGACCTTGAATTTGATTGGTTAGCGCGCGTGATGGTGAAAAGTGATGTGAAGAGTGTGCGTTGCAGAAAATGCGTGAATCAACGGCCATACCATGCTGAAAACACCGGTTCTCGTCCAAAATGAGTGATAATGTGGGATGATCCCACAACATTATCAAAAGAAGTTGCTTAATGTTCAAAGAAGGATAGCACTTTTCTTTATATCACCGCATTTGGTTTGGAACTATACCCCAACTCTAGATAAACTTGCTTTGTGAGCCCATACGTTTGAAGTTAAGATACGGAATATTTGTTGTATTTTTTGTTTACTGAAAATAGCAGATAACCATTACAAAAACTAGAACTTAATATCATATTTTAGTAGATATAGTGTTACCTTTTTCAAGGTCCCCATGCAAGTATCCATAGCAATGTGACAGCGTCTTTGTGTAACCCATAAGTAACTGCAAACAGAAAATTGAATGGCATTTGTTAGGAAATTAAGTGACCTCTGTGAACTGTGGAGGGAATTGGAATGGAAGAGTTTTATAGTTAATGAGTAACTGAAGATATTGGCACACCTCAAATAGGTGTTTGCTATGCAATTATTTGAAAAGTGTAGCTAAGTAACTACATTGAATAAAATCCTTCTTGAGAAGGTGACAACTGAAGAAATTCACATACTATGGAATCTGTTTTCACAAGAGCTTGCATTGTGTGGGATATCCAAACCATCATAAATTTTAAGTTATTATCATTATGTACGTAATTCTGAAATATGGCTCATTTGGTATAGTAACATTCTATGAGCTGGATGGCTAGGGGTTTGGTTCCACACCAGAGTAAGAAATTTTTCCCTATGCCACAGCATATAGATTGGCTCAGGGCCCACGCATCCCCTTATCAAATGGGTACTGTAGACTTTTTCCCAGTGGGTAAAGCAGCTGAGGTATGAAGCTGACCAATCTCATGTGCTGCTGAGGTCAAGAATGGTGAGATATACCTCTGCTTCCCCATACATATTCTTATTGAGGTACTTAATTAAGCACAGGGGAAACTTTACCTTTATACTTTACAACCAGTAGTATTAGAATTGACACTTCAAAGGGAGCCAGATATTCCTCAAAATGTAAGTCTTGAACCATCTCAAAGAATGAGTTTAAAACAGTCACATCTCTGAGAACACACAAGCTGTGAGCTGCTGAATTATGCTGTGACAGAACTTATTACCAGTAATGTTTGAAGGATGTGCGTGGTTGTAAGGCATCAAGTTCCTTCCTGATTCAGTGTGCTACTGGGGAAGACGTGTCTCCAAGTACTTCACTCTTCCCATCCGAAGTATCATTGCACCAGTGTTTTACATCAATTAATTATATTGTGATGTTCGATAGGTCCCATGTTATCAAATTGGGCCTCTTTTTTAATTCGTTTAGTGGGGGTTGGAGTCCAACTGGGTCCGCTCGGCTCAGCAGCCACTGATTGGCCTATTGTAGCCTGACCTGGGTGATTATGATGAAGGAGAATTTGACGGAATGAAGATGGGCAGGGGAAACCGAAGTACTCAGAGAAAACCCGCCCCAGTGTCATTTTGTCCACAACAAATCCCACTTGACCAGACCCGGGATCGAACCCGGGCCGCAGTGGGAAGCCAGCAACTAACCGCTTGAGCTATGGCGTGGCCAAATTGGGCCCTTAGCGAGGGGTATATGTCTGACGTGACATTTGACTCAACTCATAGTGAAGGGGGAAAAGGTTAAAAGAAATTGTTCCATAGAATGTAAAACATTATGTAGATCATGACATATACCTGACAATGGCCCTGTGCAGCCGAATCATGTTGTAGACTAAAAGGTGATATGAACCAAGACAGGGTGATGCTGCATAAAACTTCTATTTGTGTGTGTGTGTGCGCACACATGTTTGAAGTGAGGAAGTTCATTTTATTTGAAGAAAAGAGAAATGAATTTTGCAGAGTGAAAGATGCTGGATTAGATGGAAGATCAGGGTAATCAGTTACAAATAAAACAGACTGATATAAGTTAAAATGAGTAAACCATAAAAACCACAGGTAGTATGTAAATTTTATCTCACTCCCATACATGAAAGCATATTTGCTTTCTGGATATCCAAGGTCCTAGGAAACTAGTTGACATTGAAACTGAATGGGACACATCAGCTTCTAGTCTGTGGCGATGATGTAAATCTACTGGGGAAATATTATTCAATATATACCATAAATAAAAGCACAGAAGCTCTATTTAACACTAGTAAAGAGGTTGGTCTAGAATCACATGGAGAAAACTAAATGTACCTTGACGTCTCATCAGCAGACTGCATAAAAATTCATAACATGAAGAAAACTAATACATCCTTTGAAAGTGTGGCAGAGTTCAAATGCAGTATATCAAAAAGGCAGTAGCAGATCAAATTTTGATTCATGAAGGAATTAAGAGCAGATTAAACTTTGGTAGTGCTTGATACCATTTAGTTCAGAACCTTTTGTCTTCTTGTCTGCTGTCTATAAATATAAAGACTATAACATACAAACCTGTAATTTTGCCTGTAGTTTTGTATGGGTGTGCATCTGGGCCCCTGATGTTAAGGGAAGAGTGTTTGAGAACAGGGTGCTGAGGAAAATATTTGGACCTGGGATTGGAGAAAACTGCACAATGAGGAGCTTCAAAACTTGCACTTCTCACCAAGGAGGATGAGGTGGGATGGCATGCATGCATGCATAGAGTATTTTGATGGGGAAAAGACCACTAGGATGACAAACGTCGGTGGGAGGGTAATGTTAAGCTGTATGTTAGAGAAATACACAGGTGTCATGGACTGGACTCATCTGGCTCAGTGATGAAATTCAATACTTCACCAATCAAGGACATCAGAAACAGCAGATCTCCACCTCTTCCACACCTAAACGGAATTTCTGGGAAAGACTAATTGCCTGCTTTCCTACAACAACACTTCATAGAAAATGACATGACCAACAGTTGGAAGTAGTGGTTCCTCTGCTGTCCACCCCAAAGTTATGTAAACAGAAAATGACACAGATACCCTGACAGCAAGGTGATCTCAAAAGCCTCCTTTCATTTTCTCACAATAAGGGAAGTAGGCTTATTCTTACAAAACAATACTTCTCTTTCCATTGCTCTTCACATACTCTGTTCTTTCCTTCTAACTTGTGTTTCATCATTTTACTTTTGTCAGCCATGGATTTTGATTGAGGACTGAATAATTCCACAGACCGCACACACTTTTAGTGATTACATGTTACAGCCCAGCATTTGTGCTACAAACTGTATCCTTCAACCGATATAAATAAGACTTGCAATACAAAGAGCAAGTCATATTCACAGGATGACAGAGCACAGACACACCACACTGTGCAAACTGATAGCCTGATTCAAACCTGGAAGTTGAGAGCCAGCTACAGTAATTGAAATTTTCTTTGACTGGCACTCACTCACCCCCTCATGGAGCTGAGCCCTTCTTGAGAAGTTGCCAATTGTGCAGCTACTCAAGAACTCGTCAGCATTTATGGAACACAAAGGTTCAATACTGTATTCAAAAGAGCCCTCCACTGGCCCTTATCCTGAGCTAAATCAATCCAATCCATACCATCCTATCCTATCCTATCCCTCTAAGATCCATTTTATTATTGTCCACCCACCTACACCTTGGTCTTCCGAGTGGCCTCTTTCCTTCTGGGATGGGATTGTATTGATTGGATTGATCTGGCTCAGGAGAGGGAACAGTGGAGGGCTCTTATGAACGTACTAATGAACCTTTGGGTTCCATAAAATTCTGGGAAGTATTGAATAGCTGCAGAATTGGCAGCTTCTCAAGAAGGACTCGGCTCCATGAATGAATGAGTGTGAGTGAATGATATAGGTCTCTAATGTTATTGTTCTTACTGTTCGTTGCAAGCTCATCAGTTGTGTCTTTCAGATATTCCCCTTTTCTACTCCTTAAATGCCTGATGGTTTGACATATTGTTCAGATTATCCCCATTTATTTCACTTGGATCTTGAAACCACTGTCTTTGGCTGGCATCCTGTGCAAAATGCCTTCATGGAACCTAGTATACTTCCAGGCAGTGTTCCATTTTTTTTTTAAATCAGTGATAGTTGGAGCAGTCACAAACCTAAGGATACTCCATCACCATGTTGGTAAATGTTCACTAAATAATTTTACCTGTTCTGCTCCCCAGTCAGTAATTGTTGAGCGATCGGAGTGAATAAAACATAGCCAGGAGCTACAGTAGTTCTGCTTGTTTGTTATTTGATAACTTCTAAACTTGTGGTAATGTCTGGTGTGCTCTATGAAATGCTTTGCAGATTCAGCACAGAAGAGGGATGCAAGGACTGAATGCTGTGGCAGAATTAGCAATGGGACAGAAGTTTCAAGAAGAGGAACTATTGATGACACAGGAAAGCAATCCTTTGAGATCAGAGCTAGAGGAGGTGCAAAGAAAATTTGATGAACTTAATAAAAAATATGATGCCATGAGAGAAGAGCGAGATGATCTTCAGAGGGACAGAGACAAGTTATTAGGCTTGCAGAGAAGAATGAATATAACATTGGCCAAAGAGACAGGAATTCAAAATGCTTACTTGGAACTTACACAAGAAAGTGATTCTTTGAGATTAGAGCATGTGGAATTGAAAATTAAATATGATGAACTTAAAAGAGAATGTGGTGCCCTGAAAGGAAAGTTAAATGACATCACAGAGAAGTGTGATGTTCTGTCGAAGGAAAAAGATGAGTTAGTAGACCTGGAGGGTAGATTGAAAGTAATGTTGGATGAAGAGTCAGGTATTCTAAAAGCTCACATGATATTGACCCATGATAGAGATACGTTGAAAGCAGAGAACAAGGATTTGAAACATAACAAAGAATGCAGTAATGAAAGGATTAATTTGGTAATGACCCGGGAAACAGATAATCTTAGTTCAAAGCTAGAGGAACGGGAAAAAGAACTTGATGAATTGAAACGAGAATGTCTTACTCTAAAGGAGAATTTAAATGCCATGAGATATGAGCGTGATGCTCTACAGGGAGAAAAGGAGAAGTTAGAAAGCCTGGAGGACAGAATGAATGTGGCATTGCAGGAAAACTCAAGTATTCAGGAGGTTCACATCCTAACGATCCAGGAGAGAGATACTTTGAGATCAGAACGAGATGAACTGGAAAATATACTTGATGAATTGAAACGAGAATGTCTTACTCTAAAGGAGAATTTAAATGCCATGAGACATGAGCGTGATGCTCTACAGGGAGACAAGGAGAAGTTAGAAAGTCTGGAGGACAGAATGAATGTGGCATTGCAGGAAAACTCAAGTATTCAGGATGCTCACATCGTAACGATCCAGGAGAGAAATACTTTGAGAGCAGAGCGAGATGAACTGGAAAATAAACTTGATGAACTGAAACGAGAATATCTTACTCTAAAGGAGAATTTAAATGCCGTGAAAAGTGAGCGTGATTTTTTCAGATATAAGTTAGGAAGTATGGAATTTAAAATGAAAAGGGCGTTGGAAGAAAAGTCAAGAATGGAAAATAATCTTTATGAGGTGAAACGAGAGTGTCTTGCCCTGAAGGAAACTTTAAATGAAATTATAGAAGAACGTGATGCTTTAGAGAGGGACATATATAAGTCAGCAGGCCTGGAGGGCAAATTGGAAAAGATGTTGGAAGAGAAGTCAAAAAATGAAAAGGCTTATTATGTAATGATCCAGGAAAGAGATTTTCTAACTTCAAAGCTAGAGGAACGGGGAAGAAAACTTTTTCAAATGAGACGAGAATGTCTTACGCTAAAGGAAAATTTAAGTACCATAAGAGACGAGTGTGAACTTCTCAGAGATGTGTTTCGCGGCATGGAAGTTAAAATGAAAAGGGCGTTGGAAGAAAAGTCAAGAGTTCAAAATGGTCAATTGAAACTGATCCAGGAGAGAGATGAAATGGAAAATAATCTTGATGAGGTGAAACGAGAGTGTCTTGCTCTGAAGGAAAATTTACACGCCATAAGAGAAGAGCGTGATGATCTACAGAAGGACTTAGATAAGTTTGTAGAGCTGGAGAGAAGATTGAAAATGATATTGGATGAAAAGTCAAGAATTGAAAGGGCTAATTTGGCAATGACCCAGGAAAGATATAATTGGAGTTCAAAGTTAAATGAATTGAAACGAGAATATATTGTTCTAATGGAAAACTTTAATGCCATGAAAGTTGAGTGTGCCGCTCTACTGAGTGACAAAGATAATTTACTTGGCCTGGATGATAGATTGAAAAAGACGTTGGATAAAAACTCAAACGTTCAAAATACTCGATTGAAACTGATCCTGGAGAGAGATACTTTAAGGTCAGAGCGAGATGAACTGGAACATAATTTCGATGAACTCAATCGAGAATATCTTACCCTGAAGGAAAATTTAAATGCCATTAGAGAAGAACGTGATGCTCTCCAGTGGCACAAAGAAAAGTTAACAAGCCTGGAGGGCAGAATGAAAAAAACTTTGGACGAAAATTCACGTATTAAGAAGGCTAATTTATTATTGGTCCAGGAGAGAGATTCTTTGAAATCAGAGCGAAATGAACTTGGAAAAAGTTTAGATGAACTGAAACAGGAATGTCTTTCCCTGAAACAGAATATAAATGCTATAATAAATGAGGGTGAGAGTCTTCAGATGGGCGAGGATGAATTATTAGGCCCCCAGGGTAGAATAGACATGACGAAGTCTGGTAATCTAAACGCTGACTCTATAGTGACCCAGAAAAGAAAGAATTTGAGGTCAGAGTACAAAGAAATTGACGCTAATTTTGATAGAGTTATAAGTAAGATACGTGCTCTAAAGGGAAATTTAAAAGCCATTATAAAAGAATGTAATAGTCTTCAAATTGACAATATTAAATTAATGAACTGTGCGGGTAGAAGGAAAATGTTGGATAAACTCCGGAGAATTCAAGAGGCTCACTTGCTGTTGACTTGTGAGAAAGATACTTTAAGAAGGGGGCACAACACGGTGAATGTTAAATTTGATGAACTTGAGAAGAAATGTAGCTCTATGAAAAGAACTTTGAATGCTATTAGAGAAAAATGTGCTGCCCTTCACTGGGACAAAGAGGAGTTAGTACAGCTACATGCTATATTTTTAGAGATGCTGGATGGAGAGTCCATTATTGAGGAGCCTCAAATGAGGGTGACCTCGGAAGAGGAGGGTTTAAAATCAAAGTACAATGAATTGAAAGCTCGTTACAAGGAACTTGAAACGAAATATACTTCCGTGGCAGAGCGTTTGAATGTTATTAGAGAAGAGCGTGAGTCTCCGCAGAGAAACAGAGATAAGTTAGTAGGTGTGGACGGTAGGATGAATATGATCTTGGATGAACATTTGAGCGTTCAGAATGATCACTTGTTACTGAACCAGGAAAGAAATGATTTGAGATCAAAACAAGGAAGTGAATGTCCATATTTCTGGACGAGATGTAATGCCCCGAAACAAAATTTAAAGATAAATTAGCAGGTCTGGAAGCTGAAATGAAAATTATGGTGAACACGAAAAAAGATGCTTACGTGTTATTGACTCAGTAATGGAAGTCAACCCAGAAATGCCAAGAATCAAATAAGTCATTTTATTCCAGCCTGCTCTACTGTGTAAATTGGAGGTTAGCCCAAAATATATACTATAAGTAAGTGTGCTATGGTGATATGTGTTGCCTCACTCCCTCTTCACTCACTTTACACTCACCTTACTACACTCACAGAGTTGGATTAAGTTGGACGCAGCTTCAGTCATTGGGTTCAGGTGGACGCAGTTGCTCTCAATGTCATCTAACAATGACTTCGAAGTATTGGGCGCCAGCTCACACATAGGTGAACACAAGATCATTCACAGGGTCGTTAAATGGACCTTGGCTCCAACAACAGAGTCCACAAATCAAAGACAACAATCGCACAAATCCTTGACACTTCATTATAATGTACGAGTTACATGGTTGAATTGTATCTGAAACTTTTATTAGGTACAGCCCTTTGTTATGTGCGAGACGCGTGACGCACGTCTTTCTTATTTGAGAGCCAGGACGAGTCTGTCTGAAACAAAGAACTCTGTAGGATAGCAAGCTATTATTAGTATGATGTCACATTGGGTAACTAACAATTCTGATTGGCTGTACCACCGGGAAGTCCCTAGCTAACTGCTTATGAAGCTTGCATTATACATCTCCAAGCAACAGGGGAACTCTGGAATTATAAAACTCAAGTCATGCAACATTGCGTAATCTTCTACTTGGTATGTAGTGCATAGCGTAATATAACGCGTAATAATATATGTAATTTTACAAATTCTTAACTGATTAAACCTCATAAAAATGCAATGATTATCACAAAATTAATTGTATGCATAAAATTTGTGAAATATATTATTAAAAAGGAACAATTGGTTATATATGAATTTTAGTATGTTGGCTCGGTTATAGTTACTCATGATGTCATAGGATGTCTTGTTGCGATCACAAAATTACACTAAATATTTACGATGTGGAATGTCATGTAGTTATTTCTCATAAAAATGACTAATGTTTAGAGCAGTACTAAATGACTCTTTCAGTTGATTTACTTCTGTCATTTTGTAGAAGGCAAACTGGCAACTTCAAAAGGTTGGCTGCTGCTGCTGCTCTAAGAGAACACACATTTATGTGGTTACAAACATCAGACTTGTTCACGTTTTCTTTAGTTCACTATGCTCCACTCTTTTACATTATAACCCTTGAGGGACAGTTTGAAAGAAAAATGTCACTGGGTTAGCCCTTAGTTCTGCCAGGTTTTTCTCTTTGGTGGGCAGCCGGTTTCCCAAGGGGACAGCCCAAAAATTTGCTTACAGACTTACAATTAAGCCCCACAAGATTATTTTTACTATTAAAAATATTTCATTGTTGTTAATAATATTTACCAAAGGCCCATCACAATCTCATGGCACCTTTGACTAGTCCAGCCCAAACCAGAAGTATGGTACCTGAGTTGGGTACAAACGGTTGCAGAGTTAACATTGTTCTGTGTTGCGTGCATCATCCAAACAAGAAACTGATTCAATACTGCGTTTTTGGACTTTCTTAATCGTCCAGTATTCTAAAAAAGTAGAGAACACAATGTTTCGAAAACTGGATCTGTTCCGTCCTCAGGTGAGGGGGTCATCTACTCTGTTGGGTCCCTTAGAAATAGCTAACCTCAATCACTGGACAACCGTTTGTTAGGTAAGCGCTGGGGATAGAAGTATTGATGAGATTGAAGACGGGCTGGTTTTGAAGTAAAGTATTGTCTCTGTGGAGACAGGAGCAAGGAATTAATTGGATAGTAGTGTCGGGCGCCAACAGTTATTCTGCGGGGGATGGGGGATAAACTGCAGAATATGAGATTGGGTCTTCTTTACAATTAGGTTTCTAGTGGCTTAGCTTAGGGAGAGACTTTACTCCTCTCGGACTGACCGTGGCTTGTGTGACCAGGAGTGCACTCAGATGTAGAATCATTCACGCACAACATTCATTGATCGTTCACTTGGGTTTTAGTGGTAACTTCACTAATAAATGTACAAATTCACTGTAGTAATCAAATTAATGAGTATCAATTTCAGAACAGCTTACATAAGCTTAATGATTACAAGTTTTTGTAGTCTAAAATGTGGTTGGCAGTGCACCGGCCGCGTGTATCTCCGATGAGTGAAATTTTCAGAGCCACCAGCTAGTATTTCTGAAGAAAGGCATTTGCCCTAGACAAATCTCCGGCAAGAGACATCTACCTTAAAATTTTGATTGGTTGGACAGCTCGTGCTGGGAGTCTGGTTAATTTGCATTCTTCAAGTAGAGAAAATCTGACTGACTAGGGTCTCAGGAATGGATTCAGCCACTTACTACATTATCAAAATTTTAGGTAGTGTGGATCCAGAAAGACCCTGCTAAAATTACGACTTCTGCACAAGTCAAAGTTTAGGATTTCGATAGAGCCTGGTTTCGTGTTTCCAACTAATTTGGACTGATTGACTGATGTGCAGCTGGCCTAGGCCGCTCTCCATAAACAAAGTAAGTGACTAACTCTCCCACCAAAATGAACTAATTGTGAGTAATTAATTTAATATAACATATTCATGATAATTATAGTTTCCTTTAATTTGGTTTAATACGCAGTGGACAACCTACGTCAGTATAACTGCAGCTATATACAATAAATACTGCCGACCAGGCTTTGCAAAGGGAGATAACAATGAAAATATACGATAATTATTGTGATAAACGAAGTGTTGGGCTACCTGGTTTTTTAAATACCTGACGATGGACAAATTCCGAAAATCTAGTATTTGCGAGTGTTATACACCGTAATCAGAATCGTATGGAATCTGAAGAACTGATTATAAATGATATTCTGGGTTGGAAGTAGGCAATGTCCCTGGCCGGAAACTACTTTTATCTATAGTCGGGGATGTGAAATCGCATACAATATACGTAAGTTAATGTCAAAGGAGGCATAATGGAAATAATGTATCGAGGTAGAAAAACAAATCCATTTTCTTTGGGGGGGGGGAGACCGATGACACTTGCACCAGCATGTCCACTACCTCCTTCTACCGTCCTGTCATATCCACCCCTGTTGCATGCCAAGCTTTAAGTGACCACCATGCCACACCTGTGCCATAAGATTGTTTTATTTTAGAATCCTGCTACACCATATATGCAAATATTCATGTTACACATGGAGATCAGTTCAGGCCTCTGCTCCTCATGGGAACTGGTGCACGCCCGGCTGCGAGGCGCATACAACCTTTGCCGGTGAATCAATGTACATGATGGCCGATAACGTCTGGAATTAAGGAAAGCTATTAACTTTTAAGACCGTTTGTCTGAGTTATGTTTCATGGCGAGCAGTGCGGATCATGCATGGGAATTTGTTTATGATGTTTCTGCAGTTATCAACTCCCTTAGTCGTTCTCAGTTTTAGTTAGTGAGTAGTGTGTTCCGTCATGGTGCGGTATACTTTGCAACATGTATTTCTGCATGACTCCTACGTGAAATACAGGTGTGCTAGAAAGCGTCAGCGAAAAGTTCGATATAAATTTCATGACGCAAGAGTTCCCAGCAGACAAACAATTCAGAATTTGGTGAATTAACTGAGATGAAAGGAACTCCTGATAGACAAGGTACAAAAAATATAAATGCAGAGTGACTATTGGGGAAAATTTGGATGACGTAGGAGTCTAACTTGAACATATATACACAGAAAAAAAATGTAATTCAAGAGACTGGAGTGTCAAAGGCTGGTGCAAGAACGGTAAGAGAATTGCTGAAGTTTAGACCCTATAAAACAACAGTAGTCCACGTACGTCTTGCAGCCGCGCGATCCAGCTAGAAGAGTTCGTTTTCCCTGTTGGTCTCTACAGTCTCTCGTCGGAGGTGTTATCAATCTACAATTGATAGCGTCAAAATTTTCAATTGTGAATTGTAACTATTTCATTCCGAAAGTTATCGGCCATCATATATGTTGATTCATCGACAAAATTTGTATGCGCCTCTCAGCTGGCAGTGCACCCGTCGCCGTGAAGCCTAGAGCCTTGAAGGGGTCAACAAAGGTAAGAACCTCCCTGTTTATAACATAAGAACTTATACACTTTACGGGAACGCGACATTAAGAGAGGCGCCAAAACACACGACTTATTGAATTTTTAACTTTTTAATTTTGAACACATTAAAAATAATTGTTCGCGCAGCACATAATCAGTGTGCAAGAAGTGTAATAGTTACGTGCAACAACATACATATCTGACGATGGTCCTTGTGAGAACGAAATATATATTGTAGTAGTGCTGAATAAGGAACCGCACTGAAAGCCGCAGCGAAGGCTGTAAGTAAAGAAAGTAAAAGTAAAGGTATCCCTGTTACATTCCGTGGGGGCCCATAGAGTTGTGAGATGTTGAGGTTCCCACATTTTCCAGACAATCGGCTCATAGATGGCAGTAAGACTGTCAGCCTTACGCGCCCGCCGCCCTTCACCCCCAAGAACATTCCAAGAATATTCCTGGTATTCATTTCTGTTAGAGGCTGAGTCGACCCTAGGGCCATAGTGTAGCTGGAAGGATTAGGTAAATTGAAAAAAAAAATCCAATGACCTCATCGGGATTTGATGCCTCGACCTTTCGGCTTGTAGCATAGTATAAAGAAGCTGACAACTCACATCCATTTACTCTCAAGGTCAAGAAAAGTGGAGTTGTACCTCCACTTCCTCATATATCTTCGTGGTGCGGTGCTTAATTAATGAAACACGGGGACAATGTAAAATGCACATTTTTCACGTTCTTTCCCGTTGAGAAATTGAAGTGCATCTTAAATTCGAGGAAATATTTACCGGTTTTGAAACTATCAGAGGGGTAACCTGTAAATGTAACAAAAAAAAAAGTAAAGGTATCCCTGTAACAGGCCGCACTATGATATAAGCCGGAGGGTCGAGGGATCAAATCCCGATGAGGTCATTGGGTTGTTTTCAATTTACCTAATCCTTCAGCCGCACTATGGTCCTGTGGTCGACTCAGCCTCTAACAGGAATGAGTATCAGGAATATTCTTGGAATATTCTTGGGGGTAAGGGGCGGCCGGCGTGTAAGGCTGACAACCTTACCGCCATCTTTGAGCCGATTGTCTAGATAATGTGGGACCCTCAACGTCTCACAACCCTATGGGCCTACACAGCCTGTTACAGAGATAGCTTTACTTTACTTACTTTTTTTACCACATGCAATAGAATCAGAACGAGGTTAAGGAACAAAACACTTGTCTAATTATAATTCCTAGTGCGTTAGAAGTCAGTTTCAACAACTTGATATGTCAATTAACAAACCATTGAAGCATCTTGTCCATAAACACTATGATGTCTGGCTGAGTAAAGACAATCATATATTGACACCTACTTGCAAAATAAAAGGAGCATCAGCGTCAATAATTTATGAGTGGATATCGAAAGCTTGGAAAGAAGTATCAGTCAATATTATTGCAAAATCTGTTTTAAAGTGCTGTTTGTCTAATTCGAAAGTAAAAATAATTGCATATTTTTTATTTAATTAAAAGCATATTTACAATCTACTCTCGATAATATGTAGTCATAAGTAAATGTAAGTGTATATAGTAAAAATGTTGAATGTCCGTATCATTGTTATATTTTCTTTTTAAATGTGTTAGAAATATTTTATTATTTTAATTGGTGTGTTCTAAATAAACTAGTTGAAATGTTTTTTTTTTTTTCCTTGGCACTACAGCTCCAGTGGGCCTAGGCCTACCTCCATGAACTTCTCCGTTCACTTCGGTTTTTCTCGATCTTACACATTCGGTAGGACTCCTTGGGTGGGTGATCAGCTCGTCGCAAGGCCTCTGCCTGTACACAAACACAGAAAAACACACACACACACAAACTAAACATCCATGCCCTGAGTGGGATTCGAACCCGCGATCCCGGTTTCGAAGCGATCAAAGACAGTACATACCCGTTGAAATAAATACCCCTTTATAATTGTTTTGTAAAACCTTCTTTTAAAATTGGATACGTCTTAATTTCGAGGACGTCTCAGATTCGAAGTAATATGGTGTATACTGTATGTATGTATAACTAGGTTCAGAGCCCAGAGGATAAGACATGTACACCCACAATATTGCATTCAGGACCCAGAAGTCATAGACACTCTATATGTCATATAACTGCTGGTTTACCTGTGCCATTCTGGTGGTTTCCAGTAACATGAGGTAAACTATAATCAACCACAAGTCCGCAGAATCCATTAAGACCGATGTGTGTGTGCACAACACAGAGTGGAGAGTCGTGCTAGCGACTTAATCAGCAACTCACCAGAGCTGAGAAACCTGCTGTCAGCTTTCTGATTGTCGCCAGCATTTTGGAGGAAAATATTGAATCCCTTTTCAGGGAAGTAAGTACCCTACAAGAAGCAAGTTGCAATCAGAGCCATTTCAAGGTCACCCACTGACCTGTGTCTTGCTGCAGTTCAGCAGCAGCTAATTTTCCCTTCGTTTTGACTGTCCCTTGTCCTTATCCCTCCACTTCAACACTCCATGAAAAGTCTTATTTACTGAATTATAAAAGGCTAATTAATTCCGTCTAGTGTAATTGATGTTTTTTTCTCCTTTTTAATATCTTATCCTTAACATGTTTCGGTCTTATAGACCGTCTTCAGAAGGATATCAATACAATTATAAACCACTAATACAGTATGTTTTGTGAATATTAATAGTACAAATATTTGTACTGATGGTACATTAGTACAGATATTATATTTTTGGACATATCCATCGTCTCGTCTTTATCTAAAAGCCGTAATCCATCCTGTTTATTTTTAAAACATTCTCGCAGAAGCTATCAAAAACTCAGGCCATGTAGTGTCAAATAATGGAACGATTAATGGACAGTGAGTTTCGGACGTTAGGGAAGGAAGCAGTGTTGGTCTAATTTTGAAACCTCTCTCGGAATTTTTCTGGAGTGACTCACGATTACAACAGAAACTCGGGAAATTCGAAATTCTGGCCGTGATTCGAACTGTGTCTCTCCCATATACAGGTCAGAAATTGCTCGGTGGTGTATATAAAACAGGCCTATATAACAGACAATGGGTATTATCGAGCAGAGTGTTAGTATATTGAATCAAGCACAACACTTAATAAAATCATATTACCACGGTTTAATATATGTGCCCACGAGAGCACTGCCAATATATACAGTTAAGAAGATTGAATATTTGATTCTTAGACTGATGTATGCTTGGCTGTCACAGAACAGAAAATATATCCATTGTGGTGAAGAAACCAGCGGTACGGTAACAGGCGTAGGTTAGTTATCTCTGCTGATGAGATGAAATTCTAAGGTTTGACAAGCTCCGGGAAGTCGACCTGATAGACGGGTTGGCAATTGTTGCTCACCCAGACAGTTCCGGTCGCCCCTTCACGTAGGATATGCACAATTCCCTCTGCTACATGGTCGGGTCTGTAAGAGATTGAGATTTTCTGCATGGGAAAGCTATTTTATACATTTTAAACAATGTCAATAAAACCAGTTACACTCACGTGCCCGTAATGAGACATGGAATCATGGGTATAAAGTAAATCGACATAACAGATGAAACTGACTCTGCAGTAACATACTAATCTCTGTCATTTTATTAAACTGCTACAGAACACAAAAAGCTTACTTACACACAGTAATCTACACGTTTCATATGTTGCAGTGTTTGAAAAAATGAGGAAAATTAAAGCTAGTTTTGACAAAAGTCCAAGTAGTGTAAATCAATATATAGAACCTGCAAAACACTCATTACATAGCAGAACCACTTATAATTCTAGTTCTCCTGTATTACAACAGATTTATTAAAATTAAAGTAGCTTTAGAAATCCTACCACAAATTCTTAATTTTATTTACATTTCATAATTTATTCATGCGCCATAATGTTGTAGTTAATTGCTCTTAGTCGTGACTTCAAGGAACTCATCTCAGTCATTTTAAGATTGCTTGTTTTCTCTCGTTTGCTCAAGTGTACGTTATAGAAGCAGTTTACATTTTCCACTTTTGTTTCATAATAAAATACGAAGTACAATATATCTGGTAATATACACACTTTGCAAAATTAACTAAAATTTCTGGATTGGTAGTTACTTGAAGCCATGTTAGTCCGTGGTGTGACGCCGTATAGTCGGTCAGATACATATCTAACTTCATCTACAGAATCTTTATCTTATGGAAGGAGGCAAGAGGTTCCTCTGGAACACTAGTACCTATCTACCACACTATACGTCGTCACATGGCAGAAGATCATATCCTTAATATTGTATGCTACTAGAATCTCAAATATCATATATTACTGAACATTTCCCTTATGAGTCCACTACCGACATATTTAACACTACATTTCTGCCCAATTATACTAGTTACCAAGAATACTCACTGTTGCATTGTGAAATATGACATAATTTCCTTTGTGTCAACCTTCAGATTCTCGTAGGCATTAAGAACTCCAGTAGCTATGGGGGTATCCGTGAATCCCGGGCAGATACACAGTACTCTCACCCCGTGGCTCTTGTCCAGCGGCGGAAACTGGCACACACACATGCATTTGAAAACTGTCCTCAAGTACGAACAGATAGAAGTTAATCTCCATTGAATCATACGTTTGTTTGACAATTAAAGAATATCTAAACCTCGTGGATACAAAGTAATTTTAGAACAGAGACACAGACAAAAATTATACAGAATTAAACCTACACCTGTAGAAAATTCTAGATATATTTCGTGGACTACGGGCTGTAGCAGTCACAGCATTTGGAAATTTAAGGAGGGGGTAGGTATAATGCTCGACGCATGAAGGTGAATAAACAACTTCTTCAGCATTAAAAGTCAGTGATGATGGTATATTAATACTATGATTGTGTTACTGGATATTATCCATCGTTATCTTGGTCACGGAATGTTACAAAAGTTCTTGAGAGGACTATGATATACTTTTATACTGAAGGTTTTTGGCAAATATAAACGCATTTGAGCGTTCAATGTAATTCGTGACCTACCTTAAACATAGATCAATGTACGTCAAAGAGCTCAAAGTAGTGTATCTTCTCTAAAGGCCTGCGCTATATCGAAAGTGTTGCATATATAATTACATATAACAGCAAGATAGATATTCTTATAATGTTACCATATCTTATACAAGGAACCATGACTAAAGAAGTTTAATTATTCCGACACAGAGATTATGTTAATTCAAGTGCTAATTGACAACTACGGCCCAAAACTGAATTTTCCCGACAAATTTTGGTATTATAAAATTATACCAAATTTAATTAAAATCTCTAGTGGTTTGAGATACGAAATATATGTAGACACATGGTCATGAACTCCTCTGTGATTTAATTTAATGTAATTATTAACCAAATTCATTGCAAATTGGGCAGCTGTGATTAATGTGTGTGAAATAATAATGCTAACAAGTGCTACCAACTGAATATAATATTGTGGCATATAGACCCATTGCTAGGCAACGATCGCGAAACAAACGAGACAACGGGCGTTGCTAGGCAGCTGCCCCCGCAAAACAGTGGAAGTGTTCTGGCTGTGTCATTTAAGTTCTTTTTTAATCTGCAGCAGCATAATATCGTATGTATATTTTAAGGAAACATCAGTTAAACTCACAGAGATGGCCTGGCTGTATCCCACGACAAAGAATTTCGTTCCGTCATACACCGGACAAGCGCTCTTCAGACCCAAACCGGCGACAGAAGCAACGTTAACCACTGCCCCACCTTCTCCTCCCTTATGTTTTCCCATGTACTCCAAGGCCAATTGTGTGCCTCTGACAACTCCTTCCTAAAAGCAAGAAGTAATTACATGTTCATTACAGGATTACAGAGCCGATAGAGCTCAGTGAGCATAGTGACTATTTTACAGGTTGATGACCGGGAGTTCGGTGTTCGATACCCAGTAAAGTCAGAGATTTATCTCATCTCCACAGCATCCAGACCAGCTCTAAGGACCACCCAGCCGTCTATCCGACGGGTGCTGTAGTTAATGCTGCCGAAGCGTGAAGCTAACTATTTACGTCCATTTATTGCTGAGCATAAGAATGCATAAAGCTATATTTTCACCCCTCCATATGTGTTAATTAAACAGGGTGACAACAGTTTCTTAGTTTTGCTATCTCCAAGCAAACGGTGAGATGGTTCCAAGTTTCAAGTTCCAGGTTCCAAATTCCTCTTGCATCTTATCTCGCAGTCCTTCCGATTTAAATATATCAAAATTAAACCCTTTGTTCATGATCCCCCCAAATTATGGTCCTCAATCAACCAGCAAACAAAAATCTCGCTTCTGTTGTCCATGACAGCTAAAAAACCTTCCTGTCTTAACATAAATCAACAATTGGCTCATGAAAAACCACGCTAATGATTATTGTTCAGGTCCTGGATAACTCCATGATTGACAAAGATGTCCTTGGCCGTTCGCTTGGTAAGATAAAGTTGTTCCTGTGTTTAACGAATGAAGCACTACGCCATGAAGGCTTATGCGGGAATGGATATATAGTTCCAAATTTTCTATTCCTCGGCGCTAGCTGGAAATTAGTGGTCATCTTCACGCCCCTGCTGCTTTACCCCGGGTAAAAAACTCCCGGTACCAATTGGATAGGAGGCTGAGTGGGTGGGCCCCACAGCCGGTCTGGACGAAGTGGAGAAGAGAACACTTTTTTACCCTACCGGGACTCGAACTCTGACCTATCGGCTGTCCAGTCCGTAGCCAGTCGCTATACCTACTACGTTATGTCCCCTAAATCTCTCTCTCTCTCTCTATATATATATATATATCCATCTTTATTACTTTTGGAATATGGTAAAGCAATGGCAGAACTCACTGTACCAATCTACAAGATGGGCAATGACGCTGATTATAATATTTATTGAGAAATATCACTGCCACCAACTTCATACAAAATTTTATCAAATATCCGTCTGTCAAAGTTAAGCCCATATGCAGACAAATTTACTAGGGATCACCAGTGTGGGTTTTGATATAACAGATCAACTACTGATTATAATTTTTGCATTTATCAGATATTTGAGAAAATGAGTACAATGAGACAGTACATCACCTGTTCAGAGGAACGTCTATGATTCAGTTAGGAGGAAAGTATTGTACAATATTCTAATAGAGTTTGGCGAGCCCACGAGACAATTTAGGCTTATTAAAATGTGTTTAAATAAAACCTATAACAAAGGCCGCATAGTTAACCATACTTGTGATACGATTCCTATTCAGAATGGTCTAAAACATGGAGATGTTTTAACGTCTTTGCTTTTTAACTTCGCTCTGCTATATGCTACGCATAATGAAGGTCCAGGTAAACGAGGTTGAACTGAAAATAAATTGGGTACATCAGCTGTTGGTCTATACTGATGATATACATGTACTTGTGGGATAACATAAATGCCATAAAGAAAAACATAGAAGCTCTAATTGACGCTAGGAAGGAGTTGATCTTGCAGTAAATGCATATGTTCTTGTTTCGTTACCAAAGTACAGGTCAAAATTATGACATAAAATAATTAATAGGCCCTTTAGAAATTATGCAAAGTCAAAATATTTTGGAATGAGAGTAACAAAAATAAAAAATTGATTCATGAGGAAATGGCACATGGATTGAATTGAACTAAAGTTTACTACCATTCAGTTCATAACCTCATGTTTCCTCGCCTGTTGTCAAATCCCCAAAAATTGTAATATACGAAAATATAATTTTGCCTGTATTTTGTGTGGGTATGAAAGTTGGTCTCTGATACTTTTTTTTTTCCTTGGCACTACAGCCCCAGTGGGCCTAGGCCTACCTCCATGAACTTCACCGTTCACTTCGGTTTTTCTCGATCTTACACATTCGGTAGGACTCCTTAGGCGGATGATCAGCTCGTCGCAAGGCCTCTACCTGTACACAAACACAGAAAAACCCACACACACTAACTAACCATCCATGCCCTGAGTATGATTCGAACCCACGATCCCGGTTTCCAAGCGAGCGAAGACAGTACATGCCTTAGCCCGCTCGGCTACCGTGACCGGCCTTGTAATCTTCACCAAATATAATTTTAAAGATGAATTCAGTGAGTATGAGTTGGGCACGGCATGTAGCAGGCACGAGGATAAGAGGTATGCATATGGGATTTTTGTGCGAAAGCAAGAAGGAACGAGACCACTAGGAGAGCCTGTATAATAGAAGAATAAATTCTGCAAAGAGCTAATCGCTTGCCTTTTTTTCATATAACACGGAAAATATTTGAGAAGTCATACAGACAGCTATGTGACCTCATAAGTCATCTAACAAAAAATATGGGAGGGAAATAGACACACGGATATTCGGTCGGAGAGACACGCAGCAAGGTGATCTCTTAAGCCTGCTTTTATTTTTCCAAATAAAGAAAGAAAAATTGTATTGGGTTTTATGGACTGGATCGATCTGGCTCAGGATAGGGACCAGTGGAAGGATCCTGTGAACACGGTAATGAACATTCAAGTTTCATAAAATATTGAGAAATTCTTGAGTAGCTGAGGGACTGGTAGCTTCTCAAGGACTCAGCCCCACGAAGTTAATTAGCGAAACCATCATATAGTGCGAACAGTTGTTTTAATGTTTGATGGAATTATGATTAATGGCAATAAATATGTAAAAGCACATGTTATCCATAATTTGTTAATATATTTTGGACAGATAACATTTTGCATATGTACTTATATTTGTAACGCTTCCTCTCGGCTTCTTATGCAGAGTCATGACTGTTCCGAACCGAAACGGCACAGATGTGTACACCTTTCTTATATGATTTAGCCCTTACCACGTTTATTTTGATTTCTCTCTCCCAGCGATAATCGCCCACTATCCCCGCGTTGTTGACAACGATGTCGATACTGCCGAAAGTCTCCTTCGTCTTTCTGAAGGCGTCTGAAACAAGAGACAGCGATTCTATGCAGCAATATTATGTACTAACATCACCGTCAGTGCGTTAGACTATATACAAGCGAATAGTAACAAATATAAAGCTGTCCCTGTGACGAGCCGTAGAAGCCCATAGGGTTATGAGACGTCTAAGCTCCTATATTTTCTAGACAATCGGCAAACAGATGGCGGTGAGGTTGTCAGCCTTACGCGCCGACCGCTCTTTATCCCAGGAACATTCATATTACTCATTTCTGTTAGAGGCTCAGTCGACCCCAGGGCCATAGTGCGGCTGGAAGGATTAGGTCGTTTGAAAAACATCCAGCGATCTCATCGGAAATCAAACCGGCGTCCTCAACGGACATGGAGCTACAGTAAACACATGCCACGTTGTCGCTACCCAGTCAGCCTATTGCAGCGTCGGTCGGATCTAGATAAAACACAGCTTCCTCTACTGTTGCTTATTGGGCCATGTTTACAGAGCTGTTGCCTGGCAACGCGATGATGAAATCCGTTATAATATTGTAGCATTCTGTTGCTCATTTCATTTAGTATCGATTAGTTCCACAGTCTCACGTGTAACACTATGTTCTATGAAATTTATTAACCTTTTTAAAGTTTTAAAGTTCATCACTAAACTTCTCTACCAATGTGATCATCATCGGGAAGACAGCAGTTTTTTAGTCAAAAATTTTAACACCTGATGATGACCACATTGGTCGAAACGTTTAGTGATGGACCTTTAAACCTTTAAAGCTAACAAATATTACAGAACATAGTGTTGCACGTGAGACCGTAACTAATCAACACTAACTGGAAGTACAGCTTAAGACCGTATACGAAACAAATGTCATGTGAAATTTAAGGAGGTAATCGGTGAAAATCTAGGATCCAATTCTTGATATGGGCACAGAGGGACAGTTTGAAAATAAACAATTCATATTCAACGATGTGCCCAACTGACCTTCCAAATCCTGTTGTTCTGTGACATCAGTCTTGATGAAGATCGCTCGGTCTTCTCCATATTCTTTGGTAACCAACAAAGCAGCTTCTTCGCCATTTTGACTGTCAATATCACACATCGCCACACCCTACAGGGATAATAAATATATCGGCATTACCCAAATTGTCACAGTTAATGGGTGTTGCTGAAGACTGGAAATTAAACATTTAGCGAACTCAGATCTATTTAAATCAGGACCTGACTAATCCTACTGCAAGCACAACTGCCAATGTGGTTCCATTTTAGGAAACTTTCCAGCTGTGTGACTTCTGAAGTAATGATATGTATTCGTTTAGCGAAGCTGCCAGAGACTGGTCTACATTCACCGTCTCTTGAATCCTGATTTCGACACGTGGTTGCCGAACAATTTGATAGGCCACTGGACAAAGTATGGGCAGCAATCATCACAAACAAGACAAGTATTACTGCTCGGTTATGATGCTACAGAGCTCCCAGTCGCGTGGATCAGTGTGGCTGTACAATAACAACCGGGATGAAGGCCCAACTAAGCTGATTTCGTTACGTACATACGTATAGTGATTGTGCTTACCTTGGCGCCGTTCTTCAACAGATGTTTGACGGTGGCCAGGCCGATGCCGTTAGCTGCCCCTGTCACTATCGCCACCTTTCCATTGAGGTCCATGTTCTTCCCACAGATTCTCTATAGCTTTGCCCTGTGGACTAAAGAGACGATGGCTCGTTCTGAATTTGTAATAGATCTTCCTCTGGTACTGTAATTTTGGCTGTTATAAAAGATCTATAAAACATTTTCTTCTGGATTAAACTGACAGACAAGGCCGCGCCGTAGCTCAAGCGGTTAGTCGCTGGCTTCCCACCGCGGCGGTCCGAGTTCGATCCCGGGTCTGGTCAAGTGGGATTTGTCGTGGACAAAGTGACGGTGGGGCAGAGTTTCTCCGAGTACTTCGGTTTCCCCTACTAATCTTCATTTAACCAATTGCTCCACAATCACAATCACCTATCATCTGGGGCTGATAAAATAGACCAAAAGTGGCCGCAGTACAAGGGACTTAGTCCCACCCCACTAGCAATAAAAAAGACTGACAGTCCTGTCATACGAATACTGCGATCTAAACATCTAGGAGACTTTACAAGAGAAACAGTTTGGTCTCGTGTTAGAAATCAAATAATATATCTTTTCATTCTTGTAATGAGTCTCACTGACTTACGCATTTGGATTATGTAGTATAACCTAAGTATATCAGAGGAATGATCAAAATTATGTTGTTGTTTTTCTTTCTTCATTGGGAGCATGCTGTTGTAATTTCGTAAATTACGTTTGTTTATAGATACACGAGAAGTAAAACGGTATTGGTTTAGAAGCCAAAGTAGTCTTTCATGCATATTCAGAACTTTTAGAGCCTAGATTGAAAAAGGAATCAAAACTTCTGTAGACGCCTGCACCATCACTGAATTTCAAACCCTTGGCCTCCCTCTAGCCCTCTAACCAACGTTTCAAATCATAGCAGAGAAGTTGCTTACAATGACTTGAAAAGAGTTCAGTGCAAGGTACGTGGGCCATGTTATCTATATCTTGTCATGTGTATAGCTAGGCAACGGCGCGATAAGCACTCAAGCAACAAGAGAACGAAAGTTAATAGCTTGTTTTTAGGACACAATCAGGGAGCCAATGGAATGGCGAGATAATTATCACGTGACTTGTTTTTAATGTGGTCTGCGCTAAGCAACAACTACTACAAGAAGCAGCAGCAGTAGTAGTAGTAGTAGTAGTAGTAGTAGTAATAATAGCAGTTACAAGAATACTCTTAATAATGTGTACTAATGGCACTAAGAGTGTTGAATATCTTTCTGGGCGCCATCTTGCTCATTTTCTCCTAGCCCGCTCACTTCACTGACAAATGAAAAAGGAAAACGTACACGATTAACGACTGAGAGCACCGATGTCGAATGTCACGCCGAATGGCACGCTGTGTTCTACTACGCAAGTACATCTTGTCTGCTACATGGGTCTAATGATTCGGTGAAGATTGCTATGGTGCTGAATGCCTGCTATTCTCAAATGGCAATAGCAAAACAGAAAATTATAATAAAGTTCATAACTGGAGGGGCATCAATTCGATATTTAAATGATCGCCAATCTGAATCTGGTATTGTGTGTGAGAGAAGAAATTGAAGAAATCAAGAAACAATCAGCCATCCAAGCATTTCATATCTCTTGTAGGTAGCGCTTAAGTTATTATCTCGCTGAATTCCTTATCATATAAGATTACATGCTAATGCTATGTGGTAAGTGCGCATGCGTGCGGTGCGATAAGATGTGGTGAAATCGTAGAGATATTGTATTCTGGGCTGTGAATTAAGATGACGTATCATTACTAACGGGTGTGGCGCCAAGTGTGGAGACGCTACTTTGGCATTCGGACGGAGAAACTCAGGAAATGGACAACTCTGTCGGGTAACTTGGCCGAGGTTCGAACACAAGCTCGCAATAATAACGGAACACTAGTTGCTTCCGGCAAACGGCTTTGTATTCTTCACCAAATAATACTAGGATGTCAGTACGAATGGGCGGAAGTGTAACATACACAATTTTACTAGGGAAACGCGACCGGAAGTGTAGACATAAGCGTTCGTAGAATCGATAGAACTGAGAATGCCACTCAATTAATTCCAAATACGGTCACATGTTCGGGTATCCCTGACAAATAATTAACGGATTACGGATTTGACGGAGCTGTTTTATTGGACAAGCTTTAGTTGTAACCACAAAGAATTATAACTCTCGAAATTATTACTGGAACAATAGCACATAAAGCAAAGTCTTCATGCTTCAAGTCTAATCTTCGTTTGTAGCCTCCGGGACTGTTGGATTCTGTCTGTCAGTCCTTGAACTTCGCTACTCTTATAATCTTCTCTTGAACCGTGTAGAAGTCACTAGTCTCTCAGTTGCCTTGAACTCCTATGAACTGCTGAGCTGCTTTGAACGCCTTCCTGTCGAACCTCTCTAACAGTTTTCACTGCTCCCTCTATATGCTCGGCACTGATCACCCACAGAAAACACATCGCTGCTCAGCAACGGATATCATGTATTGTTGTCAGGCGTGTCCACTCCTGCATTGCCTGACAATGGACGCCCTATTGTTGCGCATTTGTTGCTGTGATATATGTTTACCGGTCCTTTACCTAGCACTGGACGTCCTTCTATTGCTGGATGCTCGTTGGTTGGAACACATTTACGTATTCGTCTCCTAGAAACGGCCCAATCTGTCAGAATACAATCCAGTGGGTTACTCCTGCACACGGTAAAAAACCCTTCGCGTTTGATCAAGAATAGGGAATTAAATGTTGACCGGCCGGTCGACTATAAGCTTATCAAAAGTTCTGCTCCATGCAGTTAGTTTAATGACACCTCATCTTTGAGACCAGAGTAGTAACGCTCGTCAGTGAAGTGGTGTGCACGATCTCGCCTGTAGACTGTCAGTGTCCTTAAGTGTCTTCATATTCCCATGTGAAACTTGTACATCGGTATCTCAATAAGTATTCAAGGCAGAGAGACGATTACTGGGCCAATATTTTGCAACTTTGAAGATGGACAGTTGTCTGTGCATCTTCTTGAAGCATTCGAGTATCTAAGTCTAGGGATTTAAAAATCCTCTATTATCCCATCATACGAGTATAGAATTGTCTGATTCAGGAAAGGAATTTTATCTTTAACAGATAACGTGAACTATAGGGCTTCCAAAAAGTTGTAATTTCAACTTCGTTCCTTAATGATTTTTTTCTCGCAGTCACACAGAATATATTAGCTATTATTTCACAAAATATATTTTAACCTGGACGTGTTTCGACCCAAGAAGTCACTGACTATTTACGCAAAGAGAATGCAACAACCTTCATAAGAAAATCAGTTATTTTAGGCTTTTTCGCTAGTCTAAGAAATGTTTCCGTTCATCAGTCAATCGGTTCTTCTGTATATATCTATGTATGAAAAGCCTGAGAATGGATGCACCGAATTTCATGGAACTAGTCACCTCACTTTTGGTGAAGACATACGTACATGCGTGAACGCAGTTCTCTAACTTTATCACAGCAAAACGTAGGAGTTGAAGTTCTGACAGATGTGGTTATGAAAATTTCTGTCTTCTGGGGTATAACCCCCCAGTTGTTCGTTGAAATTCAACGGATATTAAACCCTGAAGATGGGGGCGACATGTTCCTTCAAAACGTCCGTTGATTTTCAATGGATACACGGCTTTATGTCCCAGAAGACAGAAGAACTCTTCATAGCAGAATGTGTTCCAAACAAAAGTTCTAGAGCAAAATGCAATTATATTTTGCTTAAGACAATTTTGCAATAGAGCAATTATACAAAGACCCCATGCATCCATTTCCTAACTTTCAGGCCTAATCGCCGATGGCTTCTCTACAAAAACTGCCAAAATGTACCCGAGCGTATTTTTATTTTTAGTGTATGCTAGAAACAAACATAGAAACCGTGATATCTCCTCGGGACAGCGGCCTCAATTCAATTCCCGGCAGAGGCAAGAGATATTTCTCTTCTCAGCGTTCAGACCATATCTGGGCCCCGCCTAGTCTCATATCCAAAGGGGCTGTTTCCCCTAGGGTAAAGTGCCAGTGGAGCTTCATTATTACATTTCTCACTACGCTTTCCCCTCTCTAATTATAACAATCTACGCTCCACGCTTCTGGCGGCCTTTGCACCATGAAAACTCCACTGTGTGACGTTACATTTTAGCGTTCTGTTGCACTGATTCATGTCCATGATGTGTATTTTTGCTAACCGTCTTACAGTGCACACAATTTCACCTTTCTCTTCACTTTCACACTACATGTTTCGGCACTAATGTGCCATCTTCAGGTGTGTCTCTATCCACGTCAAACTACTGCACTGCATGCCCTGACGTCCCATTATAAAATGACTAAAATGCGTATTCGGCATGTATAACAACAAATTCTAAATACTAAAACCTTTCAGGATTCGTCATCCATACGTCGTAAGTAAGTAAGTAAGTAAGTAAGTAAGTAAGTAAGTAAGTAAGTAAGCGGCCTCCGTAGTCTAGAGGTAACGTTCCTACCTCATGACTCGTAGTACGCGGGTTCAAATACGCGGCGGAGGTCGTCGAATTTTTAAGGGCGGAAAAATTCAGGGAACAAGTCCTCGGGAGGGACTTTAAGCCGTGGGTCCCGTGTCGTAGATTTACGGCACGTAAAAGAACCTCATGTCTCTAAGAGATCTCTGAGCAAAATTAGGTCAAGTTTCCCGCCCAAGTAGTTTCCAATTCCTCCGGTAGATGGGGGAAGTATCAGATACCAGTGCCAGAGGAGGGGGGACCTCTCTGGCAGAAAGGGACTAAAAAGTATTAGATACCACTGCCAAGTAGAGGGTAGAAACCTTGCTGGCAGAAAGGGACTAGGAACCCCTGCCAGAGGAGGGACGACCTCGCTGACAGAAAAGGACTAACTATTAGATTCCACTGGCAGTAAGAGGTTGGAACTTCGCTGGCAGAAAGGGGCTGATAGTAAGCACCAGTACCGGTAGGGTATGGAGACAGTAGAAATTAAAGGGGGACGCACAATGGACCAGTATCGGTCTAAGTGCATGGGGAAACCCACCCCCTCAATACGGAATACGAATACGGAAGTAAGTAAGTGTATGTGCTATAGCTGATAGTGAACCTGGATATTGTTCCGTATGTTTAGACTTTGCAGTAATCCCTTTTGGGTATCTTCTACTTCGTATTCATCCGAATCTGAGCCACTTACGAGTTTAACTGTCGCCAGTAATTACATGCGGCGAAGGAAACCCTTTACCTGTACTGCGCCTGACTTTAAAGTCACTTGACTTGAACAGCAGAATTCAACCGAATGCTGAAGCGGACAAAAGAAACAGGATCTATTTTTAGATAAGGACATGATTTAATTGTGTAATAGCGCGAAAAAGGGGAGTCGGGAAAGTGTAGTCGGTAAAGCGATTGGCTACGAGCTGGACGACCGAAGGTTCGGATTTCGAGTCCCTGTAGGGTCAAGAAGAGGCAGGAAAGCCTATATAAGAAGAAGATGAAAAGCATTGTTCAATGAGTTTAGGTTGCGTTGAAATCATTGTTACGTTTTATGTTATGCTCATTTCATTAAGACTCTGAACTTCTTGTTACATAAGTGTAGTTCTTTTGTGCAGTTAATTTTCACTTGGTAAATATAGCAACAGTGAACAGCTAAGCACGTTACACGTTACAACACGGACAATTGGACAAATTGGCGCTGGATGTTAAGAAGCTGGGTGAAGAACTCACCCTACCTGATTGGTTCGTTCTTCAAAGATAAAATTAAAATCAAAAGCATTTTACGGCGTGGACGGCGCAACAGGAAGTAGGGGTCACGTGAACTCTGCTTCCTGTTGCGCCGTCCACGTTACAGTATATTCTGTACACCTACAATAAATATTTATATAACAGTTCAATAAATGGCTGTCTCTTCAAACAACGACACCCCAAATTGGTGACCACGACACAGAACAATGCAGACTACGGATAACTCAGCGCCAACAGAAATATCGGGAGTGGCCGCGCGACTTCCGCCATTCTGGGCCGAGCGGCCAGCTGCGGTTCACCCAAGCCGAAGCACAGATCACCTTGGCCGGCATCAACAGCGAGAAAACTTAGCTCTATTAGTACTCCCCGTCCCCACAGTTCTTATAAGCGCCAAAATACTCTGTACTTTCTTGACCAGAGAGTTATATTCAACAGTTGGCAACAGCACATTAGACAGAAAAGAAAACGGCAATATCCCTAATTAATTTCTACATTTCCTAGGAAATACTGAATGCCGGAAAAATTATTATAACTTTAAAATTGAACGGCTGTACGGACTTGAACGAAACAGATTTCTGTAGAACGTGCCCATGCATGTGAATAAAAATGTATTCATTTCGGTTGAGACGAATGCGTTTCATTTTCTTCATCCAGGTTATATGAAGTGGCAACACATACAACGTCATTTTATTTGGCATGCCAAGTATTTCTATTTGATATATTCACTTTGTAAGGGTCTCTTTGTCGCACACAAAGAACCCTGTCGTGTGCTCAAATTTACAGGAAAATTTGCTCTAAACAGACATATATTTTGTCAGTGTAATGGATTACACATTTTCTACCTATATCCAGTGGTATTAAGTGAAGGTATGCACATAAGTATGTACGTATTTGTACATAAGTACTGATATTTTTCTTTCACTTCATGGCTTACAGATATTAGGGTTTAGTAGAATCAGTTCAGAAGAAACTGATGCAGTGAAATATGTGACTGATTACACCGATAAAATTTATTTAATACTCTTACTTAATTATTTAATGTTTAATAAAAAAGTACTACGACAATATTGTAACAACTGTTGTCACTCTAGTATGCTGTCTTATTTTATGAATTGTTATGATAACACTGTAAGTTACATTGATATAGGGCCGCGCCATAGCTCAAGCGGTTAGACGCTGGCTTCCCACAGCGGCGGCCCGGGTTCGATCCCGGGTCTGGTCAAGGGGGATTTGTGGTGGACAAAGTGGCGCTGGGGCAAGTTTTGTCCGAGTACTTCGGTTTCCCCTGCCAATCTTCATTCCACCAATTGCTCCACAATCACCCTCACCTATCATCTGGGGCTGGGCCAATAGGCCAGAAATGGCCGCAGTACAAGGGACTTAGTCCCACCCCACTAGCAATAAAAAAGAATAATACATTTATAAATATCTTTCCTCTCACCTTCTGCCTTGACTCCCGTCAGCGTTTTGTTCACAGTTCCTAAAGACTGTGTTATTTCTGCCAGTGTATTCGCGATAAGATACGTGCGTGTCAGTAGCTACGTCATCATCTGCTTCTTTTTATTTCAGTTTTCTTTTAGTTCTTCCTGTCTTCTCATTTTTGTATTGCTAGTGGGGTGGGACTAAGTCCCTTGTACTGCGGCCGCTTCTGGCCTATCTTCTCCTTAATACTTTACGGATCCGCCTTTTACCAGGTTTACCGAAACGTCCATCGTTTTATATTTCGTACAAACATAGTGGTTCAATCATCGTGCTAGCACGAAGCCAGGGAAATTAATTTACCGGTTGAGCGTCCAGCAGTCGTGGCAATTGAAACAGCTTAAATTTCACTAATGTTTTTGTATTCCCATCTTCTTCTGTTTCTTCCACCTTTCGTATTAGGCCTCTGGCCTCTTTCCCATTAGAATTAATTTGGAGCTTTGTATTTTATGGACTCCTTTGACGTGGGATTAGCCCTGTCACAAGGTACAGTTAATCCGCATCGAAATATGAAAAATGCTGTTCACAGTTAGGTACATACTGTCGCATGTTTGCTAGGCACCACGACAAGAAATTGTGTGGGTTCTCGGATTTGAACAAATACCTCTATTGGACAGTCACTTTTACACTCGCACTCTCCACTTATAGCGTCCTTTAGACGTGTTTTTTCTTATTACAACTCTTCTGCTCTGGCCGGATAAGAACTCTTCTGTTCCCTTGTCTGCTAAAGTCGAATACAAAATCTACCCTTCTAAGAGCAAATAAAAACTGAATTCCCCTCAAGTGCAAGTCAAAGTCACATTGCGACTGACGGTCAGTCAGTCAGTAAGTCTTGTTGTCGAGCCCCATCTGGGGTTCCTGACCAGACATTTATTACTGTTTGATAGTTACGGCCTTGTTTCTGTGGGGCGCTCTCTCTGACGAGAGGACGCGTCTGCATTTGTATATGCTGTTGGCCCTTGCACAGTGCAGTATTTCTCGGGTCGCGAGTCTCAAGGGACTCGCGACCATATTTTACTGTCTCAGATTTGAGACTTCCCTTTTCGTCGCCTCCGACGACACGCAGGGTCAAGGTGGAGGTCTGTCTAGCAAAAGTCAAGTCAAAGTAATACTGAGACTGACGGACTCAATAGGGAATACTTTGTTGAAGGCTTAATTCCACCCGCTGTTACGCAACGCACGCGTCTGCCTCAACTATTCGTGTGTAACGGCGGAAACTCTACTGTTAGATTTTCATTTCGGGGGTAACGATTTCCCAGGTTTCGCTGCCTAGGAATTGCTAGCCATTGTATAGCAATGGATGCGTTCCGATTCCTAGTCGCTGTCACGGAAACGTCGGTCGTTGTGGAGGGGCACGCGGTAGTGTAGTTGGTTGAGGCGCTTTGCTACAAGCCGGAAGGTCGTGGGTTCAAGTCCCGATGAGGTCACTGGATTATTTTCAATTGACCTAATCCTTCCAGCCGCACTATGGCCCTGGGGTTGACTCAGCCTCTAACTGAAATGAGTACCAGGAATTAATTAAATAATTTTCCTGGGGAGTAAAGCGCGGCCGGCGCGTAAGGCTGACAACCTTACCGCCAT